GTATGGTGGTGCACACTTGAAATCCCAGCAGCATGGGAGGCTGAGGCAGGAGGATTGTGAATTAAAAGCCAGCCTCATCATTACAGCAGGGCCATGTGCAACTTAGGATGATCCTGTCTCTTAATTTAAAAAAGAGGTGGGGGTGACTTAGAATGTGGTTCAGTGGACACACAAGCTTGGGTACACATCTCTACCAAAAAATGTTGGACCCAGCTGGATAACTCCAGACGTGTGACATCACCCATTCTACACAGTTAGGTTTTTTAGTTAGAAATGTCCTCTCACTCTTTTTTATGCTCTGGAGAAAGGTGGTTCATTTTTCTTGCTGCTATTGTAGAATTTTACCTTAAGAAAAATAGGACTTTCCAGCCATTTTAAAGCAGTAATGAACTGATGTCTTAATTTCTGAATAGCATTGAAAATTCATGTTTTCTTTTCATCTCTGCTTTATCCAAAAATTTTATATTCCCATAAGTACATTATTTGAAGTAACACTGAATATAATTCCATCTAATGCACAGATTTACAGGTGATTATAGCATGTGGTCTAAGAGTTTTACAAGGCTGTACTTGGGAACCTCAAATTATAAAATGAGTTAAATACAATGATAGCAAACTCTCCATTTTCCAAATATGGCATAAGAGAAAGAAATTTCACATCAATAACTATATATTTTCATGTTAAAATGTTATAAATAAATATTTATATATTGACTGTAAATACACAGATATAGCATTATTCTTTAAAACATCATTTGAATTAGTAATTCCAAAAAATATATGTGAATGGATGTATGACATTTTTATGTTTAGAACTAACTCAGTAGAGGGGAAGAGTTCTGAGCCTCCTTATACTTAGAAATGATACAATTTTTCTAAAAAAATAAACAGGTCAATTACCATAATGTGATCACTAAACAATTTAAACATGTATAGATTTATAATAGTGTACTCCAGATATAAGTCAAGATGTTATGTCAATTAAAGGTTAACTTTAAAAAAATCACCATTTAAACTTTTAAGCAAATATCTACTTGAGTTCTGAATTCTTAAAAGTTATCCTATATTCTCAAATATTTTACATGTCAGATTTTCTTAGCAATTTTTCTTTTTGGTACCTGGGATTGAACCCAGGGGCACTCTGTGACTGAGCTATGTCCACAGCTCTTTCATCAAAATTTTGAAACACTGTCTCTCTAAGTTACTTAAGGCCACCTTAGTTGACGAGGCTGGCCTCAAAATTGTGGTCTTCTTGATTCAGCCTCCCAAGTACCTGGGAATTTCTTAACATCTTATATTTCACATCTATATGCCCGTGAACTAATTTAGCTTTAAGACTTTGCTTTTTAGATGATATTCTGATTCACTATGCACATACACAAATTAAATCTTAATTATTACATGTATGAGAGGCTTGCATGAAAGTCAATACGTGTTTTCCAGAAAAATATTCCGACAGTAAGTTATTACAAATTTTTCTCAAACAGGGGCTATGGATGTAGCTCAGTAGTAGAGAATTACCTAGCATGTATGTGGTCCTGGGCTTGAGATCCAGAATTGCAAAACAAAACACTGAGGATCAATTTTATACATAGACCTCTTGAGTTTGGAGAAATATCACTACTCTCTTGAAAGATGGAAGAAAAATCTGGACTTTGAGAAGACTCATATTTCAAGATTAGTTTGGATACTTATCCTTTAATGAAATCCTTATAATGAAGTGTACCTGGATCTATTTTAATTTATGGTTTGGTTTATCATAAGAATTCCACAAACATGAGTAGAAAACAATGCAAAATATGTTTTATTTCTCATATTTCATAATAGTATTTTGTGAATAGGCCAGATTCTGACATGATAATAAAAATATACAAAATATGTAACTATATAGAAAAATTCAAATAGTCATAAGCTCCATCAATTTTCTCCAAACAGAGATTTCCAGTGTACTTCACTATTCTGGTAATTTTTTTCAGCTCTCTGAGTTAGTAAGAGAAGGTGATCAGATGTTAAAATAATCCTAAGAATTCTACGAACTGACATAAATGAGTATCTGCATTTTAAAAATTAGAACAATCCTGAAAAGATAACCTATAAAGGAAATCCTCCCTTTGTGACTTGTGTGCATCATCCTCCCTATATCTGGTTCATTAAATAAAAATTCCCCAGGGCACAACTTCCTCAACTGCTGGAAAATGCTATATTACATTCTGTCTTTATAAATTATATGACCCAAACTTCCATCTTTTACAGGTAGATTTACACCATGTTGATTCTTTTGTGAGTGACGGTCACTTGACAGAATGATTTCAAGCTTCATCTGTGGTTTCTTATACATCAGAATCACCTTCCAATTTTATGCTATGTTTAGGATTTATGCAATATACAGTCTTTACATATTATACTACTGAAGATTCCATCCCACTGTGTGTAGATGTATACAGTTTTGATTCTGGTGCCAATGCAAGAGGGTCAACATGTACCCTCTAGACATAATAAATTCAAGACTCATCCATGGCTTCTTATGCATCAGAATCTTTCGCCTATTTAATGTTGGGTGGAATTCCATGATATATACAGACTATATCATCATACATTCTTATGCTTGGGAATATCAGACTTTCTCTATCACTGACTATTATAAATATGGTACCTTGAGCAATGGTGTTTAAATAATAGTTGTTGTCCCTATATCCAGTTTTTTTTATATTCATAAAAGTTTCATTAATAGATGAGATGTCAATATATGATAAGGCATGTTTACAATCTATTAGGCATAAAGCAGATTTCTGAGACTCCTGATTTATTAAAACCACTACAATCTCTCACATACCTATAAATGTATGGACTGATTCACAAAAAGAAAGTTATATTTACTACTTAGGGTTCCTTTCACACATCAATCAGAAATATAAAATTACTAGCATTGTTGGAGCAATATAGAAAATAATCTGTCATGTTTTTCTCATTGTCAAGCTCAATGTAATAATTTTTAAAAACCACTTTATGCATACATCCAACACAGAGAGCAGGCTCAGTATGCCATGATGTGTTGATGCATGGTGGTGCGATGGCTCAGTCAAGAACTGACCAATCATGCAATGAATCAACGTTGACTGTTTTTCCCCCACAGACAATTAAAAAATGAAACAGTTCATTTTGCCATGCAGATGAAAACCAAAAGAGTGATGGTGGCATAGACATTGGACACCATGATCTGGACAGAACTGAACACAGGGTCATTGTTCCACATGGTTCTTGAAGAGGAGAAGACACAGTCCAAACAGTACATGAGCAAAAAGAAACCCAGGAGCACCAGGATGGCCCTGGTGGCCCTCTGTTCTGGGAAGGCTTTGGGGGACAGGATGGTGCCATGAAGATGCTGACAATGCCACTTATGCCTATGCAAAAGGGTCAACATGTACCCACTGGAGAGGGCCATGAGCCCTATAAGGAAGACATCCTGTAATGCACCCAGTATGGAAAACAAATGCCTGAGGAATTAGCTCATGGGTAAGATAGTGCAGGAGTCACTGAGAAATATAAGGCCCTGTGAGGTCACAGTGGAGTTGTCTACAGCACAGATGGAAAAGTGGGCACTGAAGGACATATAGAATACCCACAGTAAGAAAAGGGACCTCAGGTTGTCCTGTGAGGACTTAGGCTTGAACTTTCCCAAGAAGAAGCTTGAGAAAAAATAATGTATGTCCCAATCATATGGACCATGCATGTTCTGTCACTTTGATCCAAAGTTCAAATTAGCCCATCTTGACTCCACACATTGTCATTCCTGAGATTCTGAGCTGTTGAGATTCTGAGCTGTTCTAGGTGGGCATCGCCACCCTGGGCTACTTGCACTTTTCTTTGTAATTTCAGAGAAGGTTTTCCTCACCCTTCAATGTAAGGTAATTGAATCATTTTATTATTTGGGTACACAAAAGATGATATTTATCATTTATCCCTGAATAAAAGTATGGGTCAGTAGCCTTAAGCAAATTCAAATGTGGGTGGATGGATTCTCTCTACCGTCTCCCCAGTTTTTCCTATTCCTAAAATATCTCTGGATTCATTGAATAAAAATTAACCAGGGTACACCTTCCTCAGCAGCAGGAAAATGCCATACTAATACATTCTGTCCTTATACATTATTTGACCCCAAATTCCATCTTTTACAGGTAGATTTTAGTACAAATGTTGATTCTTTTGTGATTGACAGTCGCTTCACATTGATTTCAAGATTCATCTGTGGTTTCTTATACATCAGGATATCCTTCGTATTTACTGCTATGTTTAGTATTTAATGCAATATTTGGTCTTTGCATATTATACTACTGAAGATTCCACCCACCATGTGTAGATGTATAGAGTTTTGATTCTTATGCCTATGCAAGAGGGTCACCATGTACCCTCTTGTCATAATAAATTCAAGACTCATCTCATGATATATCCAGACGATATCTTCATAAACTCATATGCTTGGGAATATCAGACTGCCTCTATCACTGACTATTATAAATATGGTATCCTGAGCAATGGTGTTTAAATAATAGTTGTCCCTATATCCAGATTTTTTTGTTATATTCATAAAAGTTCAATTGATAGATGATATGGCATTTTAGGATAAGGGATGTTTACAATCTATAGGGGCATAAAGGAGATTTCTGAGCATCTTGATTTATTAAAACTGCTGCAATCTGTCACATACCTATAAATGTATGGACTGATTCACAAAAAGAAAGTGATACTTGCTACCTACGGTTTCTTTCACACATCAATCAGAAATATAAAGTTATTAGCTTTGTTGGAGCCATATGGACAATAATCTGTCATGTTTTTCTCATTTTCAAGCTCAATGTAATCATTTTTAAAAACTACTTTTTGCATTCATCCAAAACAGAAAGCAAACTCAGTTTTTCATGATGTGTTGATGCACAGCTGTGTGGTGGCTCAGGTCGAGAACAGACCCATCATGCAATAATTCAATGTTGACTGTTCTTCCCCTACAAACATTTCAAAAAGGCAATGCTTTGTCTTGCCGTGAAGATGAAAACCAAAGGACTGATGGTGGCATAGCCATTGGACACCATGATCTGGACAGAACGGCACATAGGGTCATTGTTCCACATGGTTCTTGAAAAGGAGATGACACAGTCCAAACAGTACATGAGCACAAAAATTCCCAGGAGCACCAGGATGGCCCTGGTGGCCCTCTGTTCTGGGGAGGCTTTTGGGGACAGGCTGGTGCTGTGAAGGTGCTGGCACTGCCACTTATGCCTATGCAAGAGGGTCACCATGTACCCACTGGAGAGGGTCATGATCCCTATAAGGAACACATCCCGTAATGCACCCAGGACGGTAAACAAATGCCTGAGGAAGTAGCTCATGGGCAAGATAGTGCAGGAATCACTGAGGAATATAAGGCCCTCTGAGGTCACAGTGGAGTTGTCTACAGCTCAGATGGAAAAGTGGGCACTGAAGRACATATAGAAGACCCACAGGAAGAGAAGGGCTCTCACGCTGTCCTGTGAAGACTTAGGCTTGAACTTTGCCAAGCAGGAGCTTCTGGGCATGAGGGTGATGCTCTGCAGGACACTCAGCAGGCAGGTGGCAGAAATGGACAGGCCCCTCATCAACATATACAAGTAGGCAACTGATTTACATGTGACATCACCCCAAAGCCCCCCCCCCCACCCGAGATGTAAAAGTGTCTGCAGCTAAGAACCCCATGGTGAGCAGCATCAGTAGGTGGGTTAGGGCCAAGAGACTGACGATCCAGTCTGTGTTCTTGAGCCTCTTGTCACAGAGAAACTTGATGACACAGAACAGAAAGAGGATGGTGTTGGCCAAGATCCCAATTTTCACTTCAGAGTAAAAGGTGCTTCTTAAGTTAATAACACCATGCACTATTTTTTTTTTTTGTCATCTTTAGGAATAAGGAATCATGGAGTACATGTCTTAGGGAGAAAAGTAACAAAATGAATTATCACAAATATTAAATTTCATCCATCTCAGCCAACACTGTTGCCAGGAGGAAAATTTGTTGCCCTATCCCAATGCCTTCTTTCCCTCTAAATGAAGTTTTGCTGACACACACACTGGAAACCATTCTTTTCTCTCTCTTTTCCCATCATTTCCCAATCATGGCTGGATTACATTTTATGCAAAGTACAAAAGGATTTCCTATGCATTAAAAATGATCACATCTGTCATATATTTCTCATTCACAAGCTCTAATGTTATAGAAAACATTTCCCTGATATAATCTTAAATTTTTCTTGGTGGATATCTGACTGCAAAGGTGGAATATGTTTCCTCACTGCAGTAAGGACTATGTACTTTTGGTCCATTGAAATTATGAAGGTTTAATTAGAAAGAAAACCCTCCTAAGCAAAGAGTCTCAATGTCTTAGGCCATGCATACTTATGTTAGCTTTCTGTTACCTTTATTCTGGTTTGTTCATGAACACATGTGATTTTGTTAATATATTCACAGAGAAAATGCTATGTATTGCAACCTCTGAAGCCTGATGGGTTGAATATACCCATATAATCTTCGATTTAAGGGTAAGAATTCAATTTTGAGAAGCCCATGAACCTGGGCTCTGGACTCATCTCATCTATAAGCTGAACAAAACCTCATCATGTCTGTACATGTCATACCATGCATGAAACAGTATGAAGCATGTTTTCCATAGAGGGAAGGCTTGCTGTGCAGTAGGATCTCTGTGGAATTCTTCAGTTTTTTAGACTTCTGCAGATCCTCATTCATAGAAATCTTTTTTTTTTTTAAATTGGTTGTTCAAAACATTACAAGGCTCTTGACATATCATATTTCATACATAGGCTTCAAGTGAATTATGAACTCCCATTTTTACCCCAAACACAATTGCAGAATCATATCAGTTACACATCCACATTTTTGCATAATGCCATACTAGTAACAGTTGTATTCTGCTACCTTTCCTATCCTCTACTATCCCCCCTCCCCTCCCCTCCCATCTTCACTCTCTACCCCATCTACTGTAATTCATTTCTCTCCTTGTTTATTTTCCC